TATTTTGTATTTTATTTACAAATAAAAACCTATGGCGCTGTGACAAACACAGAGATGCTCGTTCTATGCACGCGTCAACATCCAAATGTTGTGCCCTGGGGAAGGAAGGGACCCAACGGCCACCACATCAGCCGACTCTCTCTCACGCCTCACATCATCACAACCTCTCTCTTCTCACCACACCTCGGGACAATCAAGTTTATCAAACCCACAGTTCTAACAAACAGGCAGAGAGCATCAATAAACAGTTCCAGAGACCCTCGCAAAAAAAACAACCGACCAAAATGCTGTCTTGCCTTCCTTTCCTCTCACAGTCACCGGAGCACCGTCAATCAACATTCCACCATTTCGGCTGTCATAAATTATACAGTCCAGCACACACATCGCTACCCAAGTGTTTTTTTGTAGCCTACCAGTGGTTGAAAGTCCGAATAGCAACGGGAGACAAAGTCTGCAACGACCACAAGAGCGTGACAAACATACAAAAGAAGTACATGAGCATGTAGAGGAAAATGACGACAGTAAGGATGGGAAAAGAAAAAGCAACAGGCACCCTCCAACCACTCACTGTTAGTGTTAGGTGTTGTGCCACATAAATAAAAAAACCCAACAAGTACATAGTTCTCGTCTTTCACACATCCCCCCCCCCCCAAAACACACACACATACACAAGATGCGCACACACAACACGCACACACTGCTTCATTAAATTTACCTAGATTACACCACATGACAGAAAAAAAACGAGAACTGAGAGCGATAAAAAAGACCAAAAAACACGGTTGATATTTTGTATTTTATTTACAAATAAAAACCTATGGCGCTGTGACAACAGAGATGCTCGTTCTATGCACGCGTCAACATCCAAATGTTGTGCCCTGGGGAAGGAAGGGACCAAACGGCCAACACATCAGCCGACTCTCTCTCACGCCTCACATCATCACAACCTCTCTCTTCTCACCACACCTCGGGACAATCAAGTTTATCAAGCCCACAGTTCTAACAGGCAGAGAGCATCAATAAACAGTTCCAGAGACCCTCGCAAAAAAAAAAAACGACCAAAAATTATTTTTTTAACATTTGGACCATGCTGTCTTGCCTTCCTTTCCCCTCACAGTGTTAGTGTTACAGTACAGTCACTGGTGCACCGTCAATCAAATTCCACCATTTCGGCTGTCATAAATTATACAGTCCAGCACACACATCGCTATCTAAGTGTTTTTTTGTAGCCTACCAGTAGTTGAAAGTCCGAATAACAACGGGAGACAAAGTCTGCTACGACCACAAGTACAAGAGAGTGACAAACATACAAAAGAAGTACATGAACATGTAGAGGAAAAATGACGACAGTAAGGATGAGAAAAGAAAAAGCAGCAGGCACCCTCCAACCACTCACTGTTAGTGTTAGGTGTTGTGCCACATAAATAAAAAACCAACAAGTACATAGTTCTCGCCTTATTGAAGTTATTCACACCCCCCCCCCCCCAACACACATACACAACACGCACACACACACTGCTTCATTCATTAAATTTACCTAGATTACACCACATGACAGAAAAAAACGAGAACTGAGAGCGATAAAAAAGACCAAAAAACATGGTTGATATTTTGTATTTTATTTACAAATAAAAACCTATGGCGCTGTGACAACAGAGATGCTCGTTCTATGCACGCGTCAACATCCAAATGTTGTGCCCTGGGGAAGGAAGGGACCCAACGGCCACCACATCAGCCGACTCTCTCTCACGCCTCACATCATCACAACCTCTCTCTTCTCACCACACCTCGGGACAATCAAGTTTATCAAGCCCACAGTTCTAACAGGCAGAGAACATGGACAATTCCAGAGTCCCTCGCAAAAAAACAAACAACCAAAAATAATCTTAAAAAACTTGGGACCGTGCTGTCTTGCCTTCCATTCCTCTCACAGTCACCGGTGCACCGTCGATCAACATTCCACCATTTTGGCTGTCATAAATTATACAGTCCAGCATGCACATCGCGACCCTAGTGCTTTTTTAGTAGTACCTCTATTTTTAATAACAGTGAAAACAGTTCATAACAAAGAGTGAGCTTAAGAAGATGTCACATTTTCACTGCTTAAAAAAATGGAGATACGACAAGAAAGCACATGACATGATAGTAAAATCGGCGGAACATGGAAAATAGTTACGTTACATACAAATTTCGATATGTACGCATTTTAAATACTAAGAATACACATGTGAGGCAGCGTGGTGAAATTAGACGTTCGTCAAAATAATGGAAAGTGAAGAAACTGGCATTTTCCCGCAGGTTATAGAATTTTTATCAAATTTTTGTGTTTTGGTTCGACAAGTTTCATGAACATGCCCATTAAAGAACATTTTCTACGTGGATTTTTGGATTTTACTGAAAAACGTTGATTAAAGGTATAAATGATGTCAATTTTGAGTTTCCGTGGACTCTCAAGCTAAGGAAATAACGCAACTTTGGAGGCTATTTCCTCGCTAATCTTACCTCTGAAGTTAAACCAGATAGCCCCACCTCCTTCAATCGTCAATATCATGACTTATACAAAAGATAAAGGGATATTTTTTCCATCAAAAGCAAGGCAACCCTATCCGTACGCCCTGAGGTCATTTTGTACCCCCGGGGTTGTATTCTTCACATTTAAGAATACATCTTATGCGAAGATCTCTTTGAAACTTTCAGTATTTCTCAAAAAATCATTTTGACAGACTGCTATGCAAAGCGTACGGACCGGATTAACATGTAAATTTCCTCTTTGGAAAGTGGTGGCACAGAGTTCCCCACATTGTATGGATACAACAGTAAATCAGGACATACGGATAGGAGGGTTAAGATGACACCAGTAACTCCATATGCCCAAAAATTGACGAGTACTCAATTCCACCACGTTGTGCCACACATGTGTAAGAAAAAAATTCTGGACCTGAAAAATCATTTTGCTCTGTGTATGTGAGCGCCAGACTGTAAAACAGACTTTTAGCTCAGCAACAGCAAAGTCAGGAACACACAATGTATCTCTGACCATTTCAGAACTGAACACACATGATCCATCCCCAACACAGGGTTCACACTGAGCAGGACATTCTTTCCCCCCAAGAGTTTTCAAGACCAGATTTCTTTTTTCCAAGACAAATAACATGTCAATTCGGAAGAAAACATTTCGTTCAGCATGCAAAAATACATACGGTACATTTCAAACTGTGTAAAGTCAAGGCCTTCTAAACTTCTAGGAAATATTTTTACTATAGATCTAGTGAAAAATTTGTTTTTCCAAGACTGTTCCCAAGAATTTTGCCAACTTCCCAAAATTCCCAGAGTTTTCCAGTTTTCCAGGACCCGTACGAACCCTGTCAGAAGAGAAGTAGCAGTAAGTAGTGCCAGACCGTCGCTGGTGGGAAAATCAGTGGTGTACCTGTACCTGTACACACAGCCATGAGGTCACTGGACGTCACGTCACCACCTCCTCACAAAGGTTTGAACCCTAGCACCTCAACAAGAACACACAGAGTAAAAACTGCCAGAAAGCATAGATCCCGCTGACGCCTACACTACTTACACACGAGCCCACCCCTTCACTTCATTCCTAATTTCAGAAAATAAACATTCACCGATATCAGGTACTGCGGCCGATGTGTTTATATATCAAATAAAATATAAGATTTATTGCCTCCAGAAGCCATCCAACATTTTTGTTCAATATTTGAGGAAAGAACTGTCGAGAGTTTAACATCAAATTTTTTGACAGAAACTGCAAAAATATAAGGATGAATGAGAAAGAAAAAAGACGTACCGCATTCAGTAGCAGACTTTCTAAAACACAGTTACAAATCCTCCCTCAAACAAATACCTTTCAAAGAAGGTATCATTCAACACATGCTTATAAATGAGCGAATGGACATGGCGTTTACAGTCTCTCAAGACGTACCGGTAACTACTATTTCCATTAAATACTGCTCGTTTCTCACTGGTGTCCCTCAACTCATATTTTCAACAGAATACTATTAAAATAACAACTTTTCATAACAACAAACATTTCTTACACAGAAATAAGAGCTTATTGCTACAAAAACAACGTAAGAGCACATAACAGCAAGTCGGTAACCCAAACAAACTGGCCTAGTAGCCTACTTAAAAATAGATTTTGGAACGTAATTAGTCTCGGTCTAGTTTTCTCATGTCTCTAATGCCTACAGAACAGAGAATCGTAGCTAATTAAAATTGGAAGAAAATAAGAAAAAAAAAGAGGTTCATAAATATATATATTATTTGTAACTGTTGCAAGAAAAAAGACACTCCAATTTTTTTTTCTCCTATAAAGTAGGATCAAACGGAGTTACTCGTGTATTCGTATAGCTCGAAGTGTACGTTTATAAAGTACAGAGGAAACCATATAACAGGCCCGGTAATAACAGGGATCGGGTAATAACAGGGATTTTATAAATCCCCGTTTTTTCCCCACTCTTTGTCTCTATTAAAAGTCATCGGCAATAACAGGGCCTCATCGCAGCCCAATCGGTTATAGCAGGGACAAAGGCTCCTACACAATGTGTAGAAAGTAAGTGAGAGAGAGAAACACGCAGCGTGTGAAGCGAGAGAAGGCTGTGGTGTGCTGTAGACTCCGATCTAGCCCTAAGCCTAGCCACACGCATACGTAATGTGTCATGCGCAGGCCATGGGAAAATACCCATGAATAAATTACAGCTGGATTAGTCCACCAATGCTTACTTCCCCTGCATTTCTGATTTAACAGGGATCTGATATAACAGGACTTTTTCTCTGGTCCCACCATCACTGTTACATCAGGTTTCCCCTGTACTAGTCTGAGGTTACGTTGTGGTGAGAATGTTCCAACATATCGCTATCCTCCTCACATCTGTCACTTAGTTTTAGTAGAGGTTTTTACGGCGCTCGCAACAGCACAAGGTCATATGAGCGCAAGAAGATTAAAGGTGTTACAAGAGAGTAACAAACATAAAAAAGGAGGGGCAGATAAGGACGATAGATGTTTGATAGGAAAGAAGAAGCCAACCACACCAGAGCACCCGCCAACCACCCACCATCTGTCACTGGCAAATAACTTACAATGCAGGCCTTCTGAACGTCAGTGCTCACGTTTCACATGCAATAAGCCCCGACGTCCCATCCACATGGAAGTTGTGTGTGTTTGTGTGTGTGAAAACATCAACACGATAGTGTGCACCATTACATCATGGACGTAAGTCACCACAAGAGAAAGGAGAGAGGAGAGAAAGAGAGAGAGAGGAGAGGAAAGAGAAAGGAGAGACAAGCTAACGATGCACAAACGTAACCACCATGAGCGGGCCTGGCTTCCAACAACACGTGCCGGGGCACACAACGTTTATAAATAAACCACCGACATTTGTCATTCAACGGTCCTTAATGGGGGGGCAATGGATGACACAGCAAAATGATGGAGACGCGCCGGATGGGAGAGCTCCTCTATATCAGCCCCCGTCTCTTTTTGTAGGCTTCTAAGTTGAGGGATCTCTTCGGTGCGCTGTCTCGAGGGTTGAGGGTGGCGGCGGTGGGAACCACGACCGGTGCACCTGAAAGGAGGGGGGGAGAAACAACACAACCACTGTACACAAACCAAACCGTCTCAACCACACAACAATGTAGGCAGTCAAACCTGCTTTAACACTTTGCTATCACAAGGCTCATATCATCATCATCATCATCATCCAGAGCCAGATCTGCGACAGACATCGGCGATCATGGTTTTCCATTCATTCCTTTGCTTGGATGCTCTACAAAAAGCCATGTTTCCCTGATCTTTCCCTGTTACCCATTTGCTTAGGTTCCCTAAGTATGTTGTTCTGGGCCTACCCCTGCCTCGCTGGCCCTCAATTTTGCCAGTGAGAGCAAGATGTTCAAGACCCTTATGTCTATTCAGGTGTCCCAAAAACTGCATTTGTCATTTCCTGATTGTTTTTAACATTGAGCGTCCCACGTGGGCTTCATCAAGCACTACCTCATTTGATTTCTTTTCCTTCCACGATACTCTTAGCAGTCTCGTAAGAAACCACATTTCTGTTGCTTCTATTTTATTTTCACTGTCTTTAGTGATTGTCCTGCATTCACAGCCATATAGAAGTGTTGACCAAATATAGCATTTCAGGACTTTCATTTTGGAGTTCATTGAGATGCTTATATTTTTCAGGATTGGGCTCATTTTATTGAAACTAGCCTTAGCCATTGTAGTTCTCCTTTTTTATTTCTGTGGAACGTTTAGCATCAGATGTTATCATATATCAAGGCTCATATACATATAGTAAAACCCCTTGCCATCAAAGGCATTTGGGGGGGAAATCCGAAGAAACTGGGAGGTTAACATCGCCGATCGGCATTTTATGACAGGAGCGGAAGTTCGACAATCTTTCCAATCGGCGGGATGTGACAGCAAAGTGTTAATGGCCACCTGTCTCAGACTATGACTCGTGCTAACGACCACTAGGCTACCCACTTTCCCCTTGCGTTCTTTCAACATAATAATGATACTGTCCATGGCAGATGTTCATCTGTCTAAGACAACCACTTCTCTCTTCAACTGTGGGTGGCTCTATTGGGAATTTTTTTCACTGTACTTGGTATCCATATATCTTATCTCACTAAGACATACTTCAAAATATGGAAATGTTAGCTCCCTTGACTTCAAGAAAGAGGAACAGAAATTAGAAATAAAAAGTGACACCAACTTGGTTGCACAAAAAAACAACAACAAAAAAGTTGTGACAGCTCTATGTTTCTGACTTGTGTAAATTTTGTGAGAAGAAGAGCGCGAGTCAGAGTATGGGTCAATGTCCTACCTCCAGACGGGACGTCCAGGTCGATGGTGATGTCAAAGTCGTGCACGGCAAACAGATCTTCCGACGTCCTTCGCTCGGGCCCATCAGGCTTGTCTCCGCCCTGGTGCCAAACACAACAGATCAGTTCCATAGTAACCAACGTAAACTATCGCCAGTCCAGCGAGTTAGCCTATATGCGCAGCTGCAAAAGTTGGAGGGGCTGAGACACAGGCGCCAACGCACAGTGCGAATATGCTGACACGCAGACGGCGTGAGCAAGGCGAGCTACAGGTCAGACCTATAGAGCCACTCTGGGACCGGCCTTAGAGTTTTTCAGTTTTGAGCAACGAGAAGCACATAAACGGAATGATAGTCATTTAATACAAACGAGAGAGAGAGAGAGAGAGAGAGAGAGAGAGAGAGAGAGAGAGAGAGAGAG